AAAAAAAAAAAAAAAAAAAAGACCCTGTCAGAGATGCTCTGTTGACTCTCACACCCAAAATTTAAATATTCACGTAATAAAAAAAAGAAAGTCCATTTCAAATACCACTTCCCTTCATTAACTCTCTGGAACTTCTAACCTTGAAGTAATCACTCTGTCCTATTAAACATTATGTTCATTTCTATAAATCAGGTTCAGTATGTATTAGACTATCTGACATACAGAATATTATGAAAGTGCCTTAAATAGTGTCCCCACCCCCCCACCTCCCACACCTCCACTAGATTTAAGAGCAAGGTTTACTTCTGCACCTAGAACAGAGTTATATAATTACAACTCGACAATTGACCATTGAGTTAATTTTGATAGGCTACCAGTCACTGAATAAAATTACATACCATTTGTTTTAAAGTTGCATATTTGCATAACTAGGTATAGTTCAATATTTCCACCTTCAATGGTAAAATTTGTGTAAAATATTCCATTCTAAATAATAGTTAAAATTCACAACAGTTAAACTGTGTCTTTTAAGAGACTTAGGCTCACATGTTTTCTACTCTATCACCACTAACATAAATTGAGTACGGGTGCCAGAAAACCTGCTATTGCTCCACTTAAGAGGATTTTCTCTTTGCAAAGTCAATAAATACATACAAATTTGGGAAATAATAATGTTATTTCTTATGTAGTTTAAAGTTTATAATTCATATGAGAAAGATATTTACCTCAAATAAATGGTCAAATCTTTAGTTGAAACCTACATTTTGAAGTACTTTCTCACTTGACTTTCACAAATGTCAAGGGGAAATATGAGAGAGAAAGTGACAAAGAGGGAAACTGTTGTGCAGTATAAATTATTCAATTCTGCATCTATCTGTTTAAATTGGTTTGACTATTGGAACACACTGAACCAGTCATAAAATATCATGGGAACTATGAACTAGTAGGCTTAAGCTTCAAACTGTGAGATCCTACCAAGTTGCATACCTGCAGTGCATTAAAAAGGGCTGCATTAATTAATCTTTTTTTAACTCCAGTTCTCTATCCCATCAAGATCCTGGGCATACTCCCAAACACCCAGTGTGATTTTCAATCTGTGGTTGGGGACTCAACCATGATTAGCTATGTGGGATCCAACTTCTTCTATGCAGTGCCTAACTGCTGCATTACAGGGTAAGTCCCAGGGCTTTTTTTCAAACTGGAAAGGCTTATAGTTTTTCCTATGCCATCTACTCTGAGTTTCTTGTTGTTGAAATAATTCCTTTTTTGTTTTGTTTTGTTTTGTTTTGAGTAAACCTTTGTTTTAGAATAGTTTTAAATATTCATAAATATACCAAGATAGTATAGAGTTCCCATATACTCCATGCAGTTTCCTTTATTTTTACATCTTAGTCCTAAATAATGAGTCAGCATTGATATGTTATTAACTAAAGCCCATACTTTATTAAAAATATCCTTACTTTTTACCTTGTGCCCTTCCTCTGTTCTGTTTAGAATACCACATTACAGTTTAGTTGCCACGTCTCTTTAGTCTCTCTTGGCTATCAATTCCTCAGAACATTCTTGGTTTTGAATACATAAGTTTGGGAGAGTACTCACTGATCACATATTTTGTAAACAACGCACAACACTGGGAGTTGTCTAATGTTTCTCTCATGATTAAACTGGAGTTATGGGTTTTGGAAAGGAAGACCACAGAGATAGAGGTCACATCATGTTAAGAGTACATACTGTCAGCAAGACTTATCACTATGCATCTTGACCACCTAGCTGTAGTAGTTTTGGTCAGGGTTTTCAAGTCATTCTTTGAAAGAAATCACTCCTGACAGTTCAGTCAATACATGGCGAGTTATAGCCCACTTTCTTGACAGAATCTCTACATAAACAGTTGGGAATTCTTCTCCACTATTGGTTGGTTCAGTCATTTCTTTGTATCAGTATGGACTCCTAGATGCTTATTTTATCCTGTGGGCTACAATTCAATACTACTTTATTTATTAAGCTGCTCAGCATGTTCCATCTTTGGCCACTGGGAGCTCTTTAGATTATCTTTTCACATTCCACCCAAGCATCCCTAGTCATTAATGGCTTTTTAAAGTAGCACAATTCTTTGTTTATATCAGCATGACAAGTGAGGGTTAGAGGTGATAGAGAAATGTGTTTGTCTTCAAATAAAGTTTTCTATAGCTACAATCAACTGATAAGACATTCTAAAATAGACCCCCCAAGCAACTGTCACAAATTTGACCTTATGCTCTATCCCCTCCATAAAAAAGGCATAGAATCATTCTAGTACTTTTATATTATTTCTCTTAACCTCAAGTCTGAACACATTTATCTCCCCAGTTTTTCCCATTATTTGTAATTGCACATTTTAAGTGAATTTTATTTTACTGTTTAAGACAAAATCATTTTCTTATCAAATAGCATACCAAGACACTTAAGGAATAAGTGAGAACATTTTACTTATTATGATAATCTTTTCCAAGGACAGTTACACTTTAAATTTTAGTATTAAAATGCAAATTTTCACTGTCTTTTAGTTGATAGGTATACAAAAATTTGCCTTCCATTAAGTCATTTGTTGTGAATTATATAAATTAGTTTATATAATAGTTTAGATAAATAACTCAACAATAAAATACCTCCATCTAGAATTTAATAGTTTAAAACTATTTTACAAAGAGAACTTATAAGTCTATTTTTTAAACTTTTTTCTTTAGTTTTTAGTATAGGGAATGTACACTCACCAGAGAGATACAGAGACAAAGAGAGAGAGAAAACATGAGAAATCACCCTTCAGGGGAGATAGCCATGCCACAATTCCTTCTACTCCGTTATACCTCAAAAGATAGACAAGAGAAATACCTACTGTTTCTCTTGCCACAGTTAATAGCAAAATATATCTATCGATAAAAGCTTAGAAGACATTTCAAATAGAGTTCTACCCTAATTCATTTCTACATATTTTCATTTTTGGTTTAAATAAATTAGTAGAAGATATTATAAGAGTATTTTACAATAAAGAGTAATCAAATAGCTAATCTTTTTTTTTTCTTTTAGGTGTTTTTGTCTAAGTTGTCTCAAGTGTACCAGCATTCTCAATGTGACCAATAAAAAACAGTCTGCATATACAGTTTGGAACAAAAACAAATGTGTGTTTCCTCTTTTTTTTTTTTCTAGAGTAAGAGTTGTCCTGCAGTTTGAAGCTCATACCTATACTCAAAACCAACATGTATATCATTCATTATAAATACATGGTATGTTCTACCAGGAATATCTTTTTTCTTTAGTTTTTAGTATAGGGAATGTACACTCACCAGAGAGATACAGAGACAAAGAGAGAGAGAAAACATGAGAAATCACCCTTCAGGGGAGATAGCCATGCCACAATTCCTTCTACTCCATTCTCCTCTTGGTATTTTGGGTACACATATACATGGGACTGGCCTGTTTTTCAAGTTGCTGGGTCTGGACTTGAACTGTGCAGTCCCTCATGTGTGATTCAGCCATTTTAATCACCACATAACCAGCTAACCCAGAAGTCTATATTTTTAAAGTGCCTTAGAACTCTCTGAAAAGGCAACTATAAAAAAATACATTTAATAAAAAAATGGATACAAAGAGTTAGACACACATTCTGAAAAAAAATTAAAAAGACTTCTAAACTAAATTATTTTAATCTACATAGAAAACATATTTATTAAGAATTTTCTGTTATCCTTACATTAATAACTCTAATAAAGTTTTATGAAGATTAGAGAATATTAGCTTTGAGTTAAAGAAGTAATAATACTGCATTTTATTAGATATAACTCAAATTGTGTGCACTCCTCCAACACTTAGAGTTCATAGTAAGTGTATTTTTACTTATTACATAAAAATCAGAAAATGATGTTACCAATAAACAAGATCT